TCAGGCTACCATTCAAAAAGAGAGGTCATTCTCCTCTTCTGTGAAGTCGTATTTCTTATCTGAAGTAGGCAAAGTGGAACGATGATAACGCTAAGCAAGATAATCAAAATTTGCTTTTTCTTTTGCCTCTTTCCTTCCTTCCAAATTTTCTACTCCGTCCTGAATTTTCTTTGTCTTCATCCCGTGTTCGTCCTCTTCCTCCTCCACCAATTCTTTGCTTCTCATCTCACTAATACAGTCACATGATTACGAGAGGACGAACAGCAAAATCACGAAAACGCGCTTAAACTAACAAACAACAAAACAAACAAAAATTACATCAGAAACTCCAACTCCTTCTTCGCATTGTAAACACCGGAGAAAGAGACAGAAGCAAAAGTAGAAAGATATATGGAACGGAAGCGAAGTAGATAGAGATGCAAACATAAAATAAAAATAAAAATTAGATGCATGTATTATCCGTCGGGCATTGAACCCGAGTCTGTCGCGTAAGAGGCGACCGTGCTAACCACTACACCAGAGACAGATAAATTTTGTTAATTTCACTAGTAGATTGTAGTTTTTACGAGCACACTTACAGTACACGTGTATGTTATATTACATACGTTATTGTATACCTACCATTGCACTGAAATATGTCCAATCACTAAAAATCTACCTTCTTATCTCAACTAAGCATTATGGTGAAGAGAGATCCTGGAAAAAATATAAAGCACTAGCCCTTTTTTCTTTCTTTTCGTCTTATTTTGCTGCATGCCCACTGCTGTTGCCATTATCGTTATCATCAATACTCTTCACAGACTTCCAAATCGACAATCCCATTTGAATACGTATTTCGATATTACTGGTGAGTCAAATACTTTATTTACAGGTGTTGCCACTCTCGCTTGCAAGTGCACATTTATTTGTCGAAATTTGTGGTTAAAGGAATAAGCAGTAATGTTGCTAATATATATTTCTCGATCAGAAATATATTTCTTTTCATTACATATCTACTAAAGATACAGTTGTATTCATTCACCCCATAAATGTTTTTAAAAAATCCCTGTACTACACTATTCATCTCGTAATTATCAATTAAAGTAATGATGATGGTATTGGCTGGTATACAGTAATCTACTCATCATAGGAAATGGGCAGAATTAAAAGGAAAGCGGGGAAGCACAGTGTTCAGAATCTGCTCTAATACTTTTCCGCTTTTTATCATATCTATCTATATATCTATACCTATCTATTTATCTATATTTATCTATATCTATCTGTTATCTGTTATCTTATCCTATATTTATCTATATTTATACTATCTATTTATCTATATTTATCTATATCTATCTGTTTATCTATATTTATCTATATTTAACTATACCTATCTATTTATCTATATCTATCTATTTAGCTATACCTATCTATTTATCTATATCTTTCTATTTCTCTTTCTCTCTCTCTCTCTCTCTCTCTCTCTCTCTCTCTCTCTCTCTCTCTCTCTATATATAATATATATATATATATATATATATATATACATACACACACATGAATGTATGTATGCGTGCTTATTTTTTTAACGTAACCGTGTGCTTATGTAGATGCGCACACTCGCATGCATAAAAATGAATAAATTAATTATTGAATAAATAAAGGAATAAACACACACATATATATGCATATTTAAGTATATATATACATATATGTATGTATATATATATTCGACATCAGACCTAGTGTCACGGAATGTGGAGGCCCAGCGGAAGGTCTGCCTCGTCCCGCGCCCCTTTCTCTCCCTTCCGCCGCGCGTTCGGATCCCCGTCACAGCACCTCTGTAGTGCATTTCCCTCCGAATGTGTTATTTTAGTTTTAATGTCTTGTCTCTACTTCGTTGTATCGCTGGTGCTTGTGTTTCTCTTTTGGATAGATAAATGAATAAATTTGATATTGTTTGTTAACTATCGTAGTTCTAATCCATCTATTTAGATTCACAAGGTAGGAGTAATAGGGAAAAAAATGAAATAAATGAAATATATTTTTCTTGGACGATTATTAGATTTTCTC